TCATTGTTCGTATAATTAAATGATTCATAATAAATATTGATCGATTGATTGTTATTCAACTTATTGTTTAAGGCCTAGTTGGTTAAATTTCACCCGTATCTCGGAGGTTTAATAAATATTACGCCGTTTTTTCTTTGAAATAAATTTTAGTAAGATTATAAAAGGCAAAAACTTATATAAGTTTAAGCAAATAGTTACAATTTTCAACCATCATGAAGAAAATATTAACACCCCCCCAACAAAAGATGCTAAAAACAAGAAAGTGTATGCATTCAATGAACCGAAAGATGCATTATAACGAAGTTTTTAAGAAAACTAAGGTATTTATAAAATTAGAGACTGAAATATTTCGCTTAGAAAAAGTATTTTTCAATTTTAACCAATTTGTATTAATTTTTTATTTTTACATTTAAATGATAACATTATACAGTATATATATGTGCATTATCCCTTACACATCAATACACATAGGTTAAAATTGAAAAGTTATTTTTTAATTCAAGAAATGATTTTTAGTTAAAATAAACATGAAGAATAATAAATAGATATCATTGCCGGCTTTGAAACACTCTGCTTGAAAATAAATCTGGAAGGACATTATTTATTTAACAATTAGATGATGGTAATAGAAAATCAATATGAACTCATCATCATCAATCTGTTTTAATTATTTAACAACATACATGCGGGTAATGTTTGTTTAATATTTACCCAATAGTCTTCATTTTTCTTACCAACCTGTCATGTGGCGCAGCAGGGGTCAAAGTAAAACAGATACCTACCTGCGGCCAGGTGAGACCGCGCAACGCGTTCCCTATTGGATGAAGTAAACACGTGATCATTTGAAAATTAAAAAAGGGGCAATTCTGTATTGGTTTGTTCTAGTCGGAAAAGGCCTGGGGCCCGTTTTACAAAAGAACTTACGACTAAGACTAAAAATATCAAAATTTAAGAAAATTGACAATTGTCTTTAAAATAATTTGTGTAAAAACATCTTACCACATTTCTTATAAAAAGAATAAAATAATTATGATATAAAGTTTGTTAACAAATTTATATGTATATAAAACGTCTCAATTTTTAAAAAAGAAAGTGCGCCATGTTCGTGATGGCGAACATTAGAGACGATATTACAATCAGATATATTGAAGGATATTTCTTAACGGCGGACATTATGTGATCAGTGACGAGTTTACCGAGAATAGACGGACATTTCTTGGCGGGGGACGTAATATAACGATTTTTTTTTTCGGAAGAAAGGCGGACTTTTCTTGTCGGCGGACAATATTATGATTCGTTTTAAAAGGAATGCAGGCATTTTGTAGTGGGGAATATAATATTACGATTTGTTTGGGAGAAATGTGGACATTTTGTAGCGGCGGACATCGTGTGACGATTTTTCTGAAAAAAGGGCGGACATTTCTTGACGGCGGACATAACGTGACGATTTTTCCCAAAAAGAGGCGGACATTTCATGACGGCGTACTAAACGTGACTCAACACCCACATCTGTAATAGAGTCTTAGTATCCATGGACTTTTATTCTTTTTTTTTCTGTTGTGAGATGTGTATTGTTTCATTATGTATATAATTAGTAACATTAAGTTTCTTGAACATTCCAGAGTGGTCAACATGTTTGGTCATTTTATCTAGGACATTCTTAAATTTTGTATATGTCCAGATTGTTCCAGTGATATCATGTTTTAACAATTTCTAGAATATTCTAGATTTATAATACTGTATAAATACCCTGTCAATTCAATGCATATACAATAATTGTGGATACTTTGTCGTATAAGCACTATTGAGATATAACTGGGATATATTTTCACTGGGACATTGTGTGCAGCAACGGACACTCTGATGTATGTATTCTTAGATTCTTGCTAAGTTTGTACTTTATGATTCATATACTTATCATATATTACTGTAAATAAATTATTGTTAAGTTTAAATTGTGTTATTGATCTTTGCTGGCATTTCGGGTAATTCTGACCCATAACATTTCATAAACTATACACTTGTATCAGATGAATAGCTGACCATTCTTAGTTTATACCTTTAATGAAGCTAGAAGCAAGCAACACATGCATTCCTTGGAACACTCTAAGTTTCCCTATTAGGGATTAGTGATTAATACTCAATAAGTACTATAAAACTACAATAAGACTTTAAAAATCTGGGATTTCTACTGTGAAATTTGAATTTTATAATGTATTCTGTTTTTAGATATAAAATGAATTTGGTCTTTCTGCTTTCGTTCATACAGGTTTTTTTTTAATTGCTGTAAGCAGCACCATTTGGAATCATTGTTGTGTTTTAAAGTTTTCTTACCAGCCAATCAAATTCGAGTATTATCAATAGAGGTATGATAATCTCTATTTTTTTAAACAAAATTTTGGGCGACTGTGAAAGAAGAACTCGCTACTAAGCTCCAATTTGGTACAAAAGCGAAAGTAAATTAGCTTGTCAGAATAATCCATCCTCCCCCTTTGATCTGATAGTACCCAACAAACAAGCAGCTTTGAAAAGGTTGGCCAATGAGGGCATTGCTTTATACTGATTAAAATGAAGGGCAAAAAAATAAGGTTATTGAATTGAACTTCTACACAAACAAAAGCGATATAGAAGATAGTTTTTAATTATGTATACCCGATACTTTCCTGGTCTTTATTGTTATATTTAAGCCAACACTCAAAACATTATATTAAGGTCTGATGATATGTTCCCAAAATATATTATTTTTTTTCCCAAAAAATTGCTTTTGAAAAAATTTCCGTACAAACAAGAGGGACCTTACCAGGATATAGACTAAGATACCAGGGCATCGTTTTAATTGTTCATCATGCTCATGCGAGATTTCTTGGTCAGGATTAAAACAAATTTGAATTTGCTCTATACATTGGAATGATTGCCTATTAGTCACACTCCTAAGTACCACAAAATAAAGTTCTATCAATTGCACCTAACCCTTTTACATAAAAGTGGAAGCTTTTATTGTTTTTTGTTCATAATCAAGAAAGATTACTTTGACATAATAGCTTTTAAATTATTAATTTATTCATTATTTAATCTCGTTTTGACACAAGATTATCAAAGCAAATTTGCGATTGCTGTTAAACGGAGAACAATAGACAAACATGCGCTTACTGTATATAAAGTCGTCAGACTAGTTTATTGTCATTTTTAGCTTCTTTAAAGATGTGACTAAATCGAAGAATGGTTAGCTATTATACAGCATTTCATGCAAAAAATCTAGCTTGATAATTCATACATGCACATCACACATAGTATGTCTGTAATAGAGTCTTTCAATCAAAGAAAATATCATTCCCAACCCTCAAATAGATAATAAAGTTGAAATTATTTTAAATAACTATGTATCATTATTCATGTTACACGTGTTAAAGTGTTTACACATATTGCCACTCTACACGATTCGTTGTGGGATCCCGATTCCGGTGTTTTTTGATAATATTAAAATGTCAGTTTGTTTGGAATCTAAATATCATACAGTTTTTAAGAACTGTATTATGTGCTCTTAAATATGTATCAATGTTACAATGGTACTTACCAACAATTTTCAGCATTTTATTGTGATTCTCATTTCTTTCCGTTTCACTCTCTTCCACTTTTTCTGGAAGGAAAAACAGATTTTTAAGCATTAATTGCAGATACAAAATTAACAGTATAAAGCTTTATTTCATGTGTTAAATGTCAAACTTCGACATCCTAATTACGTTTCAAGCCTTGGACCATTTGTCTAGTTTCTGCATCTTCTTCAGCCTGTTTCCTCAGTTCTTCTATGTAATGGCGGTCACGGACAGGGTCCATTGTCTCTTGTCTCAAAAAGTCCACCTCTTGTTCAAACTGGTTCCCGTTGTTCAGGAGGGAATCAAGGTCCACTACTGCTGATCTGACAGTGGACCAGATTGTGTTGAAATCAGCGTTGGAGAGGACGGGACTAGAAGAATGTACACACTGATTTTCTGGCAATACGGATTCTCTCAATGTTGGCAGAGAGAGATCTGTCTGTAGGGTCTGGATCATCTCCCCAGCCATTGCTGTGTGGAGGTATGCTACAAATGTTTCTGAGTAGTGTGTATAGAAAAGGAATATCCATGTCACCATAGTTTCCAGTATAATTGCTGCCCTTAGGTAAAATAAGATTCATTTGTGGTGCCGTCAGACGAGGAAGATCACCCCTCTTTTGTTTAATGACTTGTGTGAATGTTGGTAGAGGTACATGGTGAAGTAAAACATCACGTAGTTGATCTGTACATGGACCCAGAAGAAGTTGACATGCTCTACAGGCATTTGTCGTCTCCTCTGAACAGGCGTAAGGGGAGGAAGCCATAGCATTCATATGGTGCTTCTCTGAAATGTAACAAAACCCTCATACTGTAACAATAAACAAATAAACCAGAACTATCTTCATAGAACTTCACATTGCTTATTTACTAGGATAACTAGGAAAATTGCTCACATTTTAATTCTTTTTAATGATTTCAGATTTTTTGCTAAAGTACCATATTGTAAATTTACTGACTTGTCATAAAGTCATGCATGTTTACTTTTTTTTTACGTATTGTGTTTAATAGAAAAGGTAAGACTACAACAATTCAAGAATAGAAATAGTGTGTCAAAATGAGCATTTAACCTTGTAGTTGTGTTACTTTGTGTAAATAGTGACAAACCTGCATGATATGCGACCTCCAAAGACCCCTCCAATAACAAAAGTCGTAATTTTTTCAATATAATACGTCAAAGTTATGTTTTTATTTTAGATGTCTAAAATATATTAGGTAGGTTTCAGAGCATTTAGTCTATATGTGTATATATATAATCAACCATGTCTTCAGTAAATTAGTTTTTTTTTCATGTAGTTATGGATAGAATTTTAAAATAATATTTAACCCCGTAACCTTGACAAAGATTATAATAGAGTATAGATTCAGGGTACACTTTTGAACATAACATAGTCTTAATAGGTAGGAACTTCTTCTGTATAACTATAATTACCAGACAAGAAGGAATTATGGCTATTCTGGGACCGCGATGTTTCGGGACCCCAACGTTTCGGGACCTGACAACACGTTTCGGAACTCGGGTTAAAACGTTTTGGGACTTGGGCTAACGCGTTTCGGGATTTCTAAATATTTTGTTAAGGAAATGAAATAAAACTTGTTTACTAGTGTTTTTATGTTTATACATGTATAATTTTTTAGTTTCATACACAATTTATAATGTAAAAAGCACAGATTGGATTTTTGATTAGTTTTAAAGTTTGAATACGGCATGGAGCACGCCTTCCGAGAAAATCAAACGCCCGCGGTGTTGTCTTTATATTCTTAACACAGTATTTGATACATTACCTTTATAAATGTATTTGGTTAAAATTTGACCAAAATTTAATTAAAATTTTTTTGTTGAAATATGTATTTGATTTATTTAAGTAACTGCTGTGTGAAGACCATGGACATCCATCGTGTTTTTCTTTCTAATACTTTCTTTTTATCCTTAATTTTTTCAATAATAATTTTAAGTATTTGATTTCATATTTATTTAAAGAATTTACAAAGGCTCAATCTAGCAGTAAAATCTGCGTCCCGCATATGATTAACTATTTACAAAATTTACATCTATATACAATTCTGTAATGCAAGACAAATTTTGACAACTCTAATATAAGGCGTAATCTTCCATCCACTGTGGTTTTCTCCTGTGTCTTACAGGGATATTGTCTCCATCAGAATGGTTACTTAAATCATGTTCTTCCTCTGCTTCATCACCCAGAGGTTCAGGCTCGTCTTCTGGTGCCGTCCTCTCATCATCAGGTATTTCACCTTGCAAAGTTTGAGGATACCTTCGACGCATTCTGTCGACATGAATTACTTGTGGTTTTCCACGACGTTCACAGTCAACCTTGTAGGTAAGATCCGTCATCTTTGATAGCACTTTGTAAGAACCCCGCCAGTAACTGGTAAATTTTGGCGAGCGACCTGCCTTCCTAATTGGAAAGAACATAAAGACTTGGCAACCTGGCTCAAATTTCTGCCATGACAACTTTTGGTCGTGATACTTTTTTCTGTCTAACCATTGCTGTTTTAATATTCTCCCTGACATGTTTGTGTGCTTTTTCCAGAGTTTCTTTCAATTCCCAGGCCCATTTTTCTTTGGGAATGTGCTGCCCTAATCTGAACATTTCAAAAATGATGTCAAGCGTTGACACGTCTCTTCCTAGCATTAGGTAATTGGGAGTGTAGCCAGTTGTCTCGTGAACGGAAGCCATGTAAACCATTATTACAAATGGTAGGTGTTTGTTCCAATCTGAATGATGGTCGTTCAGGTAAGCGCTTAACATTGTCACTAGCGTCTTGTTAAAACGCTCTACCATTAAATCACTTTGTGTATGGTAGGGTCTAGTCCGTCCGTGTTTTCTTAATTTTAGAACCTGGCACATCTCCTCAAAAAGCACACTCTCATATTGTCGACCTTGGTCAGAGTGAATGACTGATGGTACGCCGAACCGGGCAATTACTTCTTCAACAATAAGTTTTGCCACTGTCTTGGCTTCCATGTTCGGCATTGGGAAAGACTTGGTCCATTTCGTAAAACAGTCCGATACCAACAATATGTATTTATTGCCATCCTCTGTCATTGGTAGTTCTCCTAAGATGTCCGTGGCAATCCTGTCCATGGGTAAACCACTCAAAACCAATTCCATGGGCGCTCTTTTCTTCATTTGAGGACCCATCTTTTTTTCACAACCTGCTATGTACATTCTGGTGCCTGCTTGCAATAGAACTGTTGCCTTATTCGAGCTAGTGTCTTTCGCACACTAAGATGTGCAGCTGTCCTCACATAATGACATTACTCAAATATTGTCCGTCGTTGGCTACTTGGTACAATAGCCTGCAAGCGTATGGTCTTTCCATCGACTTCTTAAAATTTTCTGAATAAAATGTCATTTTCTATACAAGATTGTTCCACTGTGACTATAAAGATCGTAGCACATAACGTTGACCACTAACCACACTGTACTCAGGTCTTTTCCTTTCCTTGACCAAACGTTCTACAAGGGATATGTCTTTGTTTTCATCTTCCATGTCTTTCATAGACAGTAATGGATCGTCATCTCCTTTCTTTGATCCACTGGCTTGGGATACAACTCTCACTTTGTCTGGCTTGCAACCTCTCAAATCTTTCTCACAATTTGGATCAAAACCACACTGGCGACATGGCACACGACTCAGTGCGTCTGCATTGCTGTGTTGTGTACCTGGTCGGTGTTGTATCTCAAAACTGAATGTACTGAGGATTTCCAGCCAACGTGCTAACTGACCTTTAGGATTCTTCAATATTTTAAAAGCCAACTTAAGGAGCTATGGTCTGTGCGGACTATGAACCTTTTACCATAGAGGTAATGCTTGAAGTGCTTGACAAAGTGGATAACCGCGAGCAATTCCTTTCGTGTAACGTAGTACCTGCGCTCACACTTTGTCAACGTCCGACTTGCATAAGCAAAAACCCTCTCTTGATCATCAATCTTCTTTGATAGGAATGTACCTATAGACACATTGCTGGCATTAGTATCTAAAATGAAGGGATGAGAGAAATCTGGATGCCTTAATATTGGAGTGTTAGTTATCTTATTTCTTAGGGAGTAAAATGCCTCTTGACATTCTTTTGCTCAAGCAAAGGCGCAACCTTTTTCTGTCAGCGTGTGTAGGCATTTTGTAATGCTTGAGAAATCTTTGATGATTCTCCTATAATAGCCCCATAGCCCAAGAAATGAGCGTACATCAGCTGCATTTGTAGGTACTGGCCACTGTTTTACTGCAGCTGTTTTGTTTGGGTCAGTCGCTACACCTTCCTCTGACACAACATGTCCCAGGTAAGTTACCTTTTCGGCAAACAAGCAGCATTTCTTTGCTTTTAGTTTAAGGCCTGCATTTTGCAGTCTGCAAAAACCCTTTCTAAGGTTTGCAAACATTTCCTTCAAGGTTTTGCCTGCCACTATTACGTCGTCCTGGTAAACAAGACAGATATCCCAGTGAAGGCCTGCCGAAACATTTTCCATTAGGCGCTCAAATGGTGCAGGAGTACAACATAAGCCGAATGGCATGACCTTAAACTGGAAAAGTCCACGACGTGTGGCAAAGGCTGTCTTTTGTTTGTCATCTGGCTCCATCCCTACCTGCCAATATCCTGAGCAGAGATCTAGAGTAGAGAATCACGAGCTACCACTCAACTGATCCAGTGACTCGTCTATTCTGGGAAAGGGGTATGTGTCCTTGGTTGTACAGCTATTTAACTTTCGGTAATCAATGCAAAAGCGGAATGTTCAGTCCTTCTTTTTCGCTAGCACAATAGGCGCTGACCATCGGCTGTTTGATGGCTCGATCACGCCTCTTTCCAGCATGTCATTCAGCTGTTTATCAACCTTCTCTGTTAGATGAGCAGGTACCCTCCTTGGTGGTATTTTGATAGGATGGTTTTCCCCAGTATCAATCTTGTGTTTGTCAATTCCTGTGCGCCCCAAATCTTTATCAGATTTTGCAAAAAGATTGGTATATTCTAACAACAATCTATGAGCTTCTCTTTTCTGCTTTCGCGTCAAGTGGCTTGAAGTTTTCTTCTTTTTCTAAATACAGACCTTTCTTTTCTTCTCCCCAGCCATTTACAACAACACAAGCCTCAAAATGTGATTTGAAGTCAAGCCAGGAACTTGTTCCGTCATACGTGGCTGGCTTGAATATGTAATGATTAGGGCCGTGGATATCGGCCTGGGTAGCTCAGTGGTTAGAGCACCTGACTAGAGATACAGGGGTCCCGGGTTCGATTCTCGGTCCAGCCATGCATTTTCTCTTTTCCTGTTACTGATTTGGTGCCGTTGACCACCCCTGGACTTGCAGGTGAAAGTCCTGCCAGGGGCAATAAGAACTTGGGTTGTGTCTTCGAGGGCGAAGACCATTTCAGGAAGGAGGGATGTAATGGTTAGGGCCGTAGATATCGGCCTGGGTAGCTCAGTGGTTAGAGCACCTGACTAGAGATACAAGGGTCCAGGGTTCGATCGCCGGTGGCCAGATAGCTTAGTTGGTAGAGCACCTGACCGGAGTTTCAGGTGGCCCGGGTTCGAATCCCGGTCTGGTCTGCTGCATTATTTCCTTTCCTGTTACAATTATATGGCCTGTCTTGGCATAGTCTGTCCCTATTGACTGCCTTCATGATTTTGGCGTGTCAAATAGATGGCCTGTCACAACGTCGTAAACTCCAACATTTATCCGTGGTATGCCACCTCTCTCTATAACAAACCAAAAGTGCAGCACAGTTAAGGTTACAAAAAGGAGGCAGAGCCTAATTTGTATGAGAAAACTTGACTATGACATCATACACGATAAACGTCATACAACGTTTCTTTAAAACACCACAAAACGGGTTAATCTCCTAATTTAACCAGTTCGAAATCATCAAACTACATAAAAACTTGTTTTGTTGTTAGTTAAATCCACATAACACATTATAAACAAGTCACTGATCGCAATACACTTGTCAATATGACGTCATTTCTTACAACGTGACGTAGTTTGTATGCAGTGAGAGACCGATCAAGTAATATTTTCTCAACAAAATATGTATTCTCTAATTAAATAAAATATTATTTATAGATATTCTATGGACCAATAACTTGAATTTAATGTCTTCTTCACAATTTTATTAATATATTTTCTGTACATTACGTATTTAATTGACACTGCCATATATTTGCTTGCAAGTACATCGGAGGGTAATGTGGGGGGTCTTAATAAATCGATCTAGTGCAAGGCTTAAATCTGTAGCAAACACAGTCTTTAGAGAGGTATCAAAACACTCTAATACAGCGTGTTTAATTTCAGAGCAGTCCCAGTATTTTGGCAATTTCAGACTACTCAAATGTTCTGAGAATTAATATTTTATAGCGTTTAAGAATTAAGTGAAAACGTCGGTCTAACGTTATATACGAAACTAACGTTTGGGGAAAAAAGACAAAATTAAGTTAAAAACATTTTGAAAACATTTATATTTTGTTGAAATTTTGATGATGGAATGATATTTATATTAAATAAATATTGTTTGATTCTGAATTATTTCATGTAACAATAAACAACCGTTATTTTTTTCATATATTTAAATTTTTATTTTCTAAAAATAATCTAACAACCACATACACACGAAAAAAAAACCAAGTAAACATTGATGTATCCATCTATTGTCGCCCGAGAAATATATCTAGTAAACAATGAAAATGTGTCTTGATCATCAAACAGCTTTGATACGTGTTATAAGGCATACGTCTAATTGATGGCGACGAAAGTCGCGAATATTTTGAAAACTAAGAGTCGGACAAGTAGAGCTTTTTAAAAAGCTTACTGTCTTTAGCTACAACATAAACAGTTGACTGATTAACATCTTTCAAGTCGTATGATTCTTTTGAATTTCTTGATTTCGTATTTCTACATTAGCTTTTTACTGGTATTAGCTCTACCGTGGTTGTCGCTTGGTCATCTCCTGAAACTGATCGAAACCTTCGGCAAACCCCGGCCGATTCCGTTAAATTCTTCAAACATATAAGTGGAAAAAAATAAATATAAATCGTAAAGCCAGCAAGCAATAAAAGTCAAATCTTATTTGCAACTTGATGAAAATAATGAGACCTTTATAGTTATTGCTATTAAAATATTGTTATTTAGAAATAATTACTTCTGATTTTGTTGTTCGTTTTCTCATTTTTTTAAGATTGGAAATATTGAAAAAATGTTAAGTCGTACGAAAATTATACCATCAGAAAGTTATCTCCCTTGCCTTGAACAGCATTTCAACCAATGAAATAATTGAAAATTTTGTCATCATGCAATTTCTACCAATCACAAAAGAGAGGTAGTGCACAGTCCGAAGACTGTAAAAAACTTTAACTATATAATACCGTCTCCGTTGGAAACGGTAATAAAATTAAACAAAATTGATACCATTTTAAATTTGATCAATATCTCATGTAAATGTTGGCTGCATAAAATATAAATTGAAATTAGACACATGCATCAACTATATTAAAAAATGTGTTAATTTTAAATTTAAGAATATAAAACATGAACTATGCAGAGTACGTTTTTATGCGAGAAGTAAAATTCATGTTCTAAAAAATGGATCTGTCGTTTTTTTCGATAGTATATAATAAGCATCTTTATATATTAAATATGTAAAGCTTATTTATTTTTACAGATTCACTTTATAGAAGTAAATATATTATGTATCTCGTAATTTAGAAAGTGAAATAACATTCTGATTAACAATCTTTTTAATGTTAAGAAGACCTTTAATTCTGAATAACTTTTCCCACCCCAATAACCATACACCAACACTTAAACTTATATGTATCAAGCAAACCCGGTCCTCCGGGCTGCAATAAAAAAAATTAATAATGTAAAGATTTATTCTTCTTCGTCTGTTATGACAAAAAAACCCAAATGAAGTATATCTTTATGACAATTTTTATTATGTATATAAAAATTAAAATTCGGATTTAGCTTGAAATATTACGCACTATGCATTCTAAGTGTACTTTGAATAATATGCTATATCATCATAATAAAATAATTTGTTGAAATCCCCAAAAAATAATCCAAGTCCCGAATCGTCTTTTCCCAAGTCGCGAACCGTGTTGTCGCTAGTATTATAGTGGAGTAGTATTTGTCAGGTTCCGAAATGTCGGAGTCCCGAAACATCTTGCACCCACAAGAGTTACGTTTCTGTTTAGATTGGCTTGTCTGTCTGATATTCGATATACAGACAGGTGACCAGTAGTGTAAAGAGCCCTCTACCGGCTTCGCTCATTGGCGGATAAAAACTCACGCTGATATAGAAATTTAAATGTGTCGGGGAAACGAAAACGGATCACAGAGTTCAGAGACACCAGCCGTTATCATGGTTGTTACCCTTTACAATTATATTTATTTGTACGAATGAGACACCAGTCTACGTTTCTGTTATGCCTGTTAAAGACGTAATGTACAATGCATCCTTTACCAGTACAATAACTCGTCATCCTTATTTTTGCGGAACGATAGATAGTAAAATTATTTTTAATAGATCATGTAGACTGCTTCTTGTCAGCGTTTTCAAAATTGGAAGTAATTTAGATCCTCCAGTCGTGAATCACCATTGTTTTTCGAAAACGAAAGTAGACTTTAAAACAATATAATTAAGATTCACATTGTTATTGGACATTATCTTATAACTAACGTCATTTTTACCCTCTTACTTGCAGTACATTTGCAAAACTCTTTAATAAATGTAAGTATTAGACGTGTCTATACCTTCAAGTGCCTGTGCATGAAAACGAAAGTTCTCTACTATGCGCTTTGTTTTAATTTATTTGTTTTTCTGATGCTTTAAGTCTTACCTGGTATTCTTTAATACTCGAAGGCTTTTTCAAATGATGAAAACGCCGATATTTGTACACTATATTCCGAGATTGAATCCCAAGACGTGAAGTTTCTAGTATGTCGGTCCTCAGAATCACGCGATTGCGCATGAGCAGTTATTTCCCTTGCCGTTGCTATGAGGATTATAAACAAACCACAATTTTCCACTCGCTTTAACAAAACGCATCCGATCGAGTTATAAAGGTTAAGTTATATAGTTTTTAAAATTGGGGTTGTTTAAAAAATAACTTTTTAATTTTCCTGACTTTGGGCTATTTCAAGAAATTTTTGCTTGCAAAATGCAGTATTATGAGTGCCTTTTGCGGCCAAAAACTTGCATGAATTGGCCTAATGTCGAATCATGCCGATATCTTACACTTTGGTTTAGTTCATGAAATTTTTTGCTTTACAAAGACAATTAAAGTCTTATGGAAAGTTCGGGTGAATCAACCCTAATGTCGAAACATGACCGATTTTGAGCGCTAAGGTTAGACAAGTTATTGTAAAAGCGACTTGCCGTTAACTGCAGCTTGATTTCCTGACCTCCTAAGGCTAATGTCCATATTTAGAATTCTTTCAAATAGATGATGATGCACAATTCGATCAATCAATGACTAGTTATTAGCCGTTATTTATTAAATCCATGTGTTTTTCACAAAAATCTTGCAATTTTAATCGCATTGCACTTTGAATCCTTATCAGGTATTTCTTTATTACGTCAAAACACAAGTGATGCATGTTATTATACAGTTAATATTTACATTTACTTTGACCCTAATAAAAAGCCTAATAAAATTACAAGTGATAAATATAGGATCTCCAATGATTTGTAGTTGGATATGATTCTTATCCAACGATTTGTGTGATTTTTTATCCCCGAGCCTTGGCGATGGGATAAAAACACACAACGAGTTGAATAAAAATCATATCCAACTACAAATCATGGGAAATTCTTTTTATCCCATGTTTAATGCTTCACAACCGATGTTAACACTGTTTTATATAGCACTCCACTTTATTTTACTTCATCACGCTAACGCAGAAACCATTGTGACGTCATAACTGCACTTAAATGTGGGATATGAAAAATTTATCCAATGGGTTATATCCACGGGATAAAGGGGTAAACATGGGATAAATACACATAACACGCAAGACCAAATCACCGAAGTCTGTCTGGGGTGTGAATATAGAGACTACACCATTACAGTTTAAACAAAGCGAAAACTTTGTGTTTTAATACCATTCATTTATATTTCTTTGCTGCAAAATAAAGTTTATCATTTTAGATTGAAAAATTGATTATTGTTTTCTGTTTTATTGTGCACTATTTTCGTTTGCGGATTTTGGCTTGTGCGCAAACAAACTCTGGCGGGAAACTTGCTTAAAGCTATTCCATAAGTTGTTCTATCAATTGCAACTTACATGAAGGATAAGGAGGGAATTTTAATTAAAAAAAATAAAATTGCGGATAATGCAGGGTCTACAAAATGTAAATATAAGCATTGAATTATTATTTTTTGAAAGATGCAGTCTCATAACTGCAATGGTGTGTGCAAACAAATTGAGTAACTAACGCGCGTTAGTTACTCAATTTGTTTGCACACACCATTGTAGTTATGAGACTGCATCTTGCAAAAAATTATAATTCATTGCTTAAAAGTATATCATTGAGGGAGTTAGCAAGATTCCAGTTCCCCAAGACCAGGATTATTTCCCGAGGCGCAGCGATTAGCTGTTTCACAGCGATTTCTAGGGAATTGTTCAGATTTAATCATTTAATTTTATATAGAGAAAAATCAGTAGAGGTATAATAAGAATATTTATGAGATTACGTCAAAAATTGATCATGTGATCACATTCCTAAACAACGCAAGATGGATTTTTTTCTTCTAAAACAAGTACGTTATTTTACGTTATTATACCTCTACTGATTTTTCCCTCTATAAAATTAAATGATTAGATCTGAACAATTCCCTAGAAATCGCTGTGAAACAGCTAATCGCTGCGCCTCGGGAAATAGTCCTGGTCGTGGGGAACTGGAATCTTGCTAACTCCCTGTTAGAAATCGCTGTGAACTGCCTAATCGTTGTGCGTTAGTTTTTATGAGCTAATCCCTCAGTCGAAAGCTAATCATGCTAATAATCATGCGGTTATAGCTTTTCATTGTCACATCATAATAGAGCGACGCAAAAACACAATGCTTCGTGACGTATTTCATATAACAAAACGCAACAAAATAAGACGTAAACTACAAATAGAATGCAATTATTATATAAGAATTAGGGATTAACTGTCTTCTAATTTGATATTTGGGACAAAAATGGTTAGTGAATCCGTAAATTAATATTTTTTTTTAAAAAGGTGATATTTACAATTTAAATTTGTATTGGTATAATAAAACTTTTAAAGTATATATCATTGAGGGAGTTAGCAAGATTCCAGTTTCCCTCGACCAGTACCATTTCCCTCGGAGCGCTGCGCCTCGGGAAATAGTCCTATTCTTGGGGAACTGGAATCTTGCTTACTCCCTCAATGATATACTTTAACTGAATATCTTTTAATTTTCATTTTAAAAACTGTGTTAAAACCAGTTTTTTCAAACCTAATTTTTCACAAGAAACATGAATTTGTGGTCAATTTTGGGATGTCTTCTAATATCTAACCCACGCGATATGTTTTCAGGTTTTAGGAAATTGATTACATTGCTTTGTTCTAATAAATTTTGTTTATTTTGACCTCTAAACCACAATCATTTAACAGAAATTAATCTTACCTTAATACTGTCTAATTTAAAAGAATAAAAATCTTTCCTACACTCTTTTAAAATAATTATTTATGAAAAACTTTCATAATAGGAAGGGACATGTTTAAATTCGTTAAAATGCGTTACTTTTAAGAATATTTGTTTTAACAAAATGGATTACTAATATTTTTAGACAAATTAGGAAAGGAAATAAAACTTCAGATTTGGAAGCAAACTGAGAGTTCCTTTCCTATTTCCTCGTCTTTTTGTTCAGTTAGATCCTCTCACGTTATCTAATAGGTCTGCTATAGTTACTCGTATCAAAAGCAATGACAGAATTCCCGAGTATTTCCAGGGACCATTCAATGCTTTATTGGAATCGATTCTTTGTTGTCTTTGTTGTTATGCAAAATTCCCAAAAATAAATACATGAAGATTAGAGTAACGTAAAATGGAGACACGTACAAGTAGGATAGGAAAGGGTGTGTGTGTGTGTGTGGGGGGGGGGGGATAGAGATCGAAGAACCTAACCAATGAAATGGGGTTTCAAATTGTTCTTATTTTTTTTAACCTAACCAATGAAATGGGGTTTCAAATTGTTCTTTTTTTGGCTTGCCTTTTCACAACATCTTATTAATTTTACAATCAATTACAGGAAGATTTATGCTATATCTATGAAATGTACTACTCAAAGCCATGCCTGACATGATAAAGAAGGGACCTTCATTGTAGGGGCCGTCATTAGAGAATGTGCTGAAATCCTTGACCTTCGTCATACGAAACAGTTTGTGAGCAAAGAGAAGTAACTCTGTTGTATTTATAGAAGTACCTACCATATGCTTAAGTGTTAAGAAAATTATTGCTTACAAAAATTAATATTATTTTAGTTTTTTCTTTGACAACATCTCAGTATTAATCGACATAGTATCTTATACTTTGAGTTGTTGCGATACCAGAAAAATTAAAAGACATGATTATCTTAATGCCGAATTGATGGCGTTTTCTTCTCACGTATAATTGTATGCGTAAGTTTTGAAATAAATTCTGCTTTATATGATGAAAAAAGAAATAGGTCTTCTAAAAAAAAGGGCACAAATGCTATTTATGCCAATTTCGACACCATGCTAGAAGACCTTGTCTCCAAAAATTACATAGATACTCAGGCAATTATTTAAATATACTATTCAGAAAACAGGGGGATATTGGATTTTTAAGGACAGTAAAATACAGATTATGAAGTCATGAAGGAAACAAATGACAGAAAAACAATAAGGAAATATTTGTCAATTTATTCGAAAGCCTGTGTACGGCAAGAAAAGGACAGATTTTCCAGAATAAGGTTTGACACTAACACAGGGTCACACAGCAAATTTACCACCATTGGGGATCATTTAGTGAGCTCAATGCTCACAGTACTCTAGTTTACAGTTTAAAATTGATTTAAAACAATGTTCTAGACGAACATAACCAGTAAGAAAATTATATTTCATATTTTCGATACGGAGGCACTGTTATTTTGTAGTTAACAATCTTGGAAGCGATATTCGATGCTTATTTGTAAGTTGTAGTCTTCAGCCGAAGAAAAAAGACTCTCTGAGGAGATTGTTGCTCTACTGGTGTATTCTCATAACGAAGGGAGAGAAGTAGCATTTGAACTTGAATCGTTGTAATAGCAAGATATCAAAATTAAAAAATATCATTGGTTTAGTTTTTTTTCTTGGCAAAGATTTATTGCTATCAAATCAAAACTGTAGGACGAGTAGCATCAAAGCAATATCATTTTTATAGTAAACATGGTAACAGCGTCCAGCGAAATAAAAAAATACGATAGATAGAATTTTGTAACTTTGTCTAGTCTACTTGTATGTTAATTATTTTAATATCCAACTAAAACTTTGGGAGGGGTAGCATTTTGAAAAATATTTCTATCATATTGTTCGTAGACGGACAGACAGCTAACTAGACAGACGGACGTTGGGTAACTTACTATAGCATAAGCTCTTCGACTATCCGAGCAAAGAAAACAAAGAAAGAAGCTAAACATTAGAGTAAGTTTATTTTCAACTTAAGATGAAACGAGAATTTATTGAAGGGACAAATAAATTAAATATTACTTGAAACATAACAATAATCAATTAAAATTTGTCCATTTATTTGATATACACAATATCCATTGAAAACTGTAACAAATGAATTCAACATATTGCATACCATGATGTATATATATACAGTTATAAATAACAATTTCAAAACATTTCGACAAAAGTTGAAAAACACTGGATAATCTAAATATATGTCTGAATATACAATGACACTTCTGCGATTCGCTGTTATAAAAGATACTTAAGTCTGAGAATGCTCTCAAGTCTGAGAATATTCTCAAATCCAAATCAAATCCCTATCCCCAGGGGTTATGATTTGGACAATTTAGAATCTACACTATCCCAAAATTCACAAAAGTTTCAGCTTTTCTGGTCCAATGGTTCTTGAAAAAATTTCCAAAGATTTTTCCATACATATTTTAATGTAAACTTGAATTCCCTATTGTGGCGTCTTCTACCCCCACGGGTTTAGAAAATTTAGAATCTACCCGCAGGATGCTTCCACATAAGGTTTAGCTTTTCTGACCCAATGGTTATTGAGAAGAAGATTTTTAAATATTTGTTTCCTATATACTAGTATTTCTATGTAAAACTTGAATTCCCTATTGTGGCCCCGCCCTACCATGGGGGTCATGATTTTTACTTAGAATCTACACTACCCAAGGATGCATCCACATATGTTTAAGCTTTTCTGGCCAATGGTTCTTAGGAAGAAGATTTTTAAAGTTTTTACCTATAAATCTAAGTGAAATTGGATTCCCTATTGTAGCCCGCCCTACCTCGGGGGTCATGATTTTTACAATTAAGAATCTACACTACTCCAAGATGATTTCATATACATTTCAGCTTTCTTGCCAAATGGTTCTTGAAAAGAAGATTTTTTAATGACCCCACCTTTTTTGTATTTTCTTGATTATATCCCCTTGGAAAGAGACTTGGCCTTTGATTTTACCAATTTAAATTTCCCCTTAGAAGTTGAAAATGGGAAAAGTTTACTAACGGACGGACAGACAGAAAGCTAGACAGACAGACGGGCGGACGACGGAAACGGGTGATCAGAAAACCTCACTTGAGCTTTCAGCTCAGGTGAGCTAAAAAGCAATCACACAATTTTGCCTCAACTCTCATATGAAACTGTAAACTCATTTTTTAACCAAACAATTGACGTATAACAACCATAATATAAAAATAGAAGTATGGAATCAAATAGTGGATCTTTTGCCCTCATGTCAAGGGTAAACAGGTGAACTTAATAATTTGTAGAGAATGGCAGTTTCCACTCAATGCAATTTATAACTTAAATTATTCCACCATTGCAGCATAATTCAAAAGGAGAGTGCAACTAATATCAGGTTATATGCTCTTATTTCAATAATATTTTAATGTACACTATACGGAATTACTTTTTTTCTAATCTTTCATATTTATTTGATTTACTCAGCAAAATCTTCCTCTCAGCACGTTTTAGGTATTCAAACAAATCTTTGATTCTTTAAAAAGTTATTCAATAGTCAGCGTGCCCTCTTTAGAACCGACACACCCTTTAAGTCTAACATAGACATCTAAACTAAACCCACCATCATATGGTATATGATACCCATTTACTTCATTTAGACCAGTTCCTACCCCTAGAAGCTCCTTCACTACCCTCCCCCTATATATCATCCAATATACGCTACTGTCTGTTGAGTATTAATATCACTCTTTTAATTGATATCAGATCCGACGTTTAAAGCTCCTTCACTACATTCATATGTCTACTATTACATGCTGCTATCAAGTGGTGTATTGTACTCTTTGCTGATTGATATCAGCTCTGGCTTTTAGTAGCTTTTTCACTACACTCGTATGTCCACATCAATGGGCTGTTGTCGTTGGTGTTTCTGACTTATCTTGTAGAATGTTATCTGCTCCCGCTTCTAGTAACTCCTTCACTACACTCATATGTCCTCCCTTAGATGCTGCTGTCAGTGGTGTATTAAACTTTCCTTGTAGACTGATATTAGCTCCGGCTTCTATAAGCTCCTTCACTACACTCATATGTCCCCCCTCACACACTGCTATCAGTGGTGTATCATACTCATCTTGTTGATTGATATCAGCTCCGGCTTCTATCAGCTCCTTCACTACACTCATATGTCCACCCTTACACGCTGCTGTCAGTGGTGTATCATACTTACCTTTTTGATTGATATCAGCTCCGGCTTCTATAAGCTCCTTCACTACACTCATATGTCCACCCTTACATGCAGCTGTCAGTGGTGTATCAAACTCACCTTTTTTATTGATATCAGCTCCGGCTTCTATAAGCTCCTTCACTATACTCATATGTCCACCCTTACATGCAGCTGTCAGTGGTGTATCATACTTACCTTTTTGATTGATATCAGATCCGGCTTCTATAAGCTCCTTCACTACACTCATATGTCCCCCCTCACATGCTGCTGTCAGGGGTGTATCACAACTATCTTGCTGATTGATATCAGCTCCGGCTACTATAAGCTCCTTCACTACACTCTTATGTCCTCCCTCACATGCTGCTGTCAGTGGTGTATGAAACTCACCTTTTTGATTGATATCAGCTCCGGCTTCTATAAGCTCCTTCACTATACTCATATGTCCACCCCTACATGCTGCAGTCAGCGGTGTATCATTCGTACCTTTAGGATTGATATCAGCTCCGGCTACTATAAGCTCCTTCAATACACTCATATGTTCACCCTTACATGCTGCTGTCAGTGGTGTATGAATCTTAGCTTTTTGATTGATATCAGCTCCGGCTTCTATAAGCTCCTTCACTACACTCATATGTCCACCTTCACATGCTGCTGTCAGTGGTGTATGAATCTTAGCTTTTTGATTGATATCAGCTCCGGCTTCTATAAGCTCCTTCACTACACTCATATGTCCAACTTCAACTGCTGCTATCAGTGGTGTATCAAACTTACCTTGTAGATTGATATCAGCTCCGGCTTCTATAAGCTCCTTCACTACACTCATATGTCCAGCCTGATATGCTGCTGTCATCGGTGTATGAATCTTAGCTTTTTGATTTATATCAGCTCCGGCTTCTATAAGCTCCTTCACTACACTCATATGTCCAAAGTAACATGCTGCTGTCAGTGGTGTATTATACTTACCTTAAGGATTGATATCAGCTCCGGCTTCTATAAGCTCCTTCACAACACTCATACGTCCACGTTTACATGCTGCTGTCAGTGGTGTATCACACCCACCTTTTTGCTTGATATATCAACTCCGGCTTCTATAAGCTCCTTCACTACACTCATATGTCCAAAGTAACATGCTGCTGTCAGTGGTGTATTATACTTACCTTTAGGATTGATATCAGCTCCGGCTTCTATAAGCTCCTTCACTACACTCATATGTCCACCTTCACATGCTGCAGTCAGCGGTGTATTTAACCCATCTTTTTGATTGATATCAGCTCCGGCTTCTATTCAATTGGCGTATTACAACCACAATATAAAATATTGAAATTATGTAATCAAATAATGGATCTTTATCTTTATGTCAAGAATGAACAGGTAAAATTTAATAATTTGTAAAGAAATGCATTCTCCACTCAATGACATTTGTGACTAAAATTATTCCACCTTTGCAGAATGAATCAAAATGAGAGTGCAACTGAACATTTTTATTGCATGAGGAGTTGGACAATGTACCTGACTTACAACAACATATACTGACTGAAGACTGATAAAAACAATCTCTTACTGAAGCAATGCAAATATTAATGTTTGTAAATATTGACAAATCAAAATTTCAAGACACCCTAAAAGAGAAGGGTAGGTAAAACATTGCGTTATAGGTTATATGCTCTTATTTTCATAATATTTTAATGTACATTTTACGGAGTTACTTTTCTAAAGAATATCAATTCTCATGTTTATTTGATTTACTCAGCACTATTTTCCTCTCAGTACATTTAAGGTATTCAAACAAATCTTTGATTCTTCTAAATTTATTCAATAGTCATCGAGCCATCTTTAGAACCGACACACCCTTTAAGTCTAACACAGACATCAAAACTAAACCACCATTATAATAAACTGTCAAGAGTCACCATTCACTCTTTTACTGAACTGCACATTCTTAAGTACACGTAACACTTATATACAAGAGGCCCATGGGCCACATCGCTCACCTGAGAAGCTTTGACCATTCTGTTACTTACCAGATTTCCTCCTTGTAATACAATATGCATCCCACACTACCCCACTGTCAGATCATAATTAAGACATTTTGAAATCTACACTACCCCAGGATCCTTCCATGTGCACATAAGTTTCAGCTTTTCTGGCCCAGTGGTTCTTGACAAGAAGATTTTCAAAGAATTTTCCTATATATTTCTATGTAAAACTTATTCCCCATTGAGGCCCCGCCTTTCCCCCAGGGGTCATGATTTGTACAATTTAGAATCTACACTACCTCAGAATGCTTCCACATAAGTTTCAGCTTTTCTGGCTGAGTGGTTCTTGAGAAGAATATTTTCAAAGATTTTTCTCATATATTTCTATGTAAAACTTTGATTCCCAATTGTGGCCCCACCCTTACGCCGGGGGTCATGATTTGAACAATTTAGAATCTACACTACCCAAGGATGCTTCCACATAAGTTTCAGCTTTTCTGACCAAGTGGTTCTTGAGAAGATGATTTTCAAAGATTTTTCCTATATATTTCTATGTAAAACTTTGATTCCCAATTGTGGCCCCGCCCTTCCCCAGGGGTCATGATTTGAACAATTTAGAATCTACACTATACCAGGATGCTTCAACATAAGTTTCAGCTTTTCTGGCCCAGTGGTTCTTGAGAAGAAGATTTTCAAAGATTTTTCCTATATATTTCTATGTAAAACTTTGATTCCCCGTTGTGGCCCCGCCCTACCCCCGGGAGTCATGATTTGAACAATTTAGAATCTACACTATCCCAGGATGCTTCCACATGAGTTTCAGCTTTTCTGGACCAATGGTTCTTGAGAAGAAGATTTTCAAAGATTTTTCCTATATATTTCTATGAAAAACTTTGATTCCCAATTGTGGCCACGCCCTTCCCCCGGGGATCATGATTTGAACAATTTAGAATCTACACTATACCAGGATGCTTCCACATAAGTTTCAGCTTTTCTGGCCTAGTGGTTCTTGAGAAGAAGATTTTTTAATGACCCAACCCTATTTTTGTCTTTTCTTGATTATCTCCCCTTGTAAGGGGACTTGGCCCTTTATTTTTACAATTTAAATTTCCCTTTACCCAAGGATGCTTTGTATCTAGTTTGGTCAAAATTGGCCCAATGGTTCTTCAGAAGAAGTAGAAAATGTGAAAAGTTTACAGACGGACAGACAGACGGACAGACAGACGGACGGACGACGGACAAAATGTGATCAGAAAAGCTCACTTGAGCCTTCGGCTCAGGTGAGCTAATAAGTGTCGCTTATCCTTAACTTACTGAACATTCGTCTTGTTTAATCTTTAACAGACAGACCATGTTAGAATAGCACAAAATCGTACTCGCTGAACCTTATCCTGACAGTAAAATCAACCCACACATCGAGGGGAATAATATTATCTCTATAAAATCATCCACCAAAAAACTATGTCCATCAATCATTCTTAACAAAAAATGTTACAGATAAAATGCAAACTTTAAATCATCCAACGATTCTGCAAAGATAACAGTCTCAATTTTATTAACGGCGATGTCCTCTGTATATATAATTACCATACATGAGTGCTAGCAGATTTTCATAATCGTATTTATTCATCCTTCTACGTGCATTAAGGAACTCTTGTAAATGATAATTGGCCCCAGCCTTTAGTTGTTCCTTTAAATATTAAAAATGTTCTTTAAAATCATTATTACTTTATATAGGAAATTTCAACTCTAGTAAATCTTTATAACATCTCACCCTCATCCGCTGTTACCAGTGGAGTAAGTATCTGACAAACCTTACTGTTTGATTTCAGTCTGCTTCTATAGCAGCTACTCATATATCCATCCTACGTGATGCTGTCAGTGGTATATGATACCTATTTAGTTCATTGAGACCAGTTCCTATCCCTGGAAGCCCCATCATTACACCCCCTACACATATATATTATCCATTATATGCTACTTCAGTAGTGTATTAATATCACTCTGTTATTCGAAATTAGCTCCGACTTCTATAAGCTCCTTCACTACACTCATATGTCCACTATTACATGCTGCTTTCAAGTGGTGTATTATACTAACGTTCCTGAGTGATATCAGTTACTAGTAGTTCCTTCACTACACTCGTATGTCAGCATTGACAACAGTATAATGGCGTTTTTGAGTTATCTTGAATGTTATCTGCTCCGGCTTCTAGTAACTCCTTCACTAAACTCATATGCCCAACCTCAAGTGCTGCTGTCAGTCGTGTATGAACCTCACCCTTTTGTTTGATATCAGCTCCAGCTTTTATTAGCTCCTTCACTACACTCATATATCCACCCTTACATGCTGCTGTCAGTGGTGTATCATACTTACCTTTTTGATTGATATCAGCTCCGGCTTCTATTATCTCCTTTACTACATTCATATGTCCATCCTTACATGCTGCTATCGGTGGTGTATTATACCCATCTTTTTGATTGATATCAGCTCCGGCTTCTATTAGCTCCTTTACTACACTCATATGTCCACCCTTACATGCTGCTGTCAGTGGTGTATCATACTTACCTTGTTGATTGATATCAGCTCCAGCTTCTAGTAGCTCCTTTACTACACTCATATATCCACCCTCACGTGCTGCTGTCAGTGGTGTATGAACCTCACCTTGTAGATTGATATCAGCTCCAGCTTCTACAACCTCCTTCACTACACTTATATGTCCCTCCTCACATGCTCCTGTCAGTGGTGTATGAAACGCACCTTGTAGATTGATATCAGCTCTTGCTTCTATAAGCTCTTTCACTACATTTATATGTCCACCTCTACATGCTGCTGTCAGTGGTGTATCATCAAACATACCTTGCTGATTGATATCAGCTCCAGCTTCTTTAAGCTCCTTCACTACACTCACATGCCAACAGTTACATGCTGCTGTCAGTGGTGTATCAACTATACCTTGCTGATTGATATCAGCTCCTGCTTCTATAAGCTCCTTCACTACACTCATATATCCACCCGTACATGCTGCTGTCAGTGGTGTATCAATCATACCTTGCTGATTGATATCAGCTCCGGCTTCTATAAGCTCCTTCACTACACTCATATATCCAACCTTACATGCTGCTGTCAGTGAGGTATCATACTAACCTTGTGGATTGACATCAGCTCCGGCTTCTATAAGCTCCTTTACTACACGCCTATATCCACCCTTACATGCTGCTGTCAGTGGTGTATGATACTTACCTCGTGGATTGATATCAGCTCTTGCTTCTATAAGCTCCTTCACTACACTCATATGTCCACCCTTACATGCTGCTGTCAGTGGTGTATCATACTTACCTTGTGGAATGATATCAGCTCCGGCTTCTATAAGCTCCTTCACTATACTCATATGTTCACCCTTACATGCTGCTATCAGTGGTGTATCATCAAACAAATATTGGGTTTTTTTGTTAGTCATTTTTATATCGACATACTTGATTAAAATTTTAACAGTCTCCAAATCACCACTGTAACAACTCAATACAAATAAGCGGTCATGTTCAAAAACAGACCGACTATTTTCCTGTTTTTGATTTGTGGTATCACAAATGAAGTTTAATAAAGATGATTTGACTGTTGCAGTATTTTTTTCAATGTTATCTTCTCTTTTTTGTGCTTCATTGATTAACCTGGGGCTAAAAGAAATCCAAAATAGTTCAATCTTTGTTTCTTTGTGTAATTCAGTTTGTTTTAAAATATATTGCAGGATCTGATTGTGTCCGTAGTAAACCACCCAACTTATAACCCTCACACAGTATGTTTTTTCTTTATAATCACCCTTCTCATTCACCAACACACGCTGTCTACCCCTCTCCCCGTACCATTTTTCCCTCTTCTTACTCTGCTCACTCACACGCTTTCCTTTACTCACTACCTTGGAAACGTCTTTCTGTTCTGACAGAAATAAAGACTTCAAATCTGTGTATGACTGTTATTAACACCTCAATAAAAGCCTGACAAACTCTGGGGTGTTTTAAAATATCATTCATATAAACATCATACAGCTCCATATTTTCTATATCTTTGTACAAACGCTCTGTTCACATCGAATACTGATAGCGATCAATGGAGCAGTCCGCAACAGAAGCAAAATTCAAAACAGAGCAGCAAACAGCGCGACATATCAGTGATGATCAGTGAAATGCGCGCCCGTCAGCAGGGACCCGGTTCTGCATCCGGAAGTGATACCTCAACCGAGACGAACGGAGATAACGAGGAAATGTAATGCTCTTACAGACTGCTTCTTTGAATTGAAACTCATGATCATGATGCCGGTATGTTTATACTATTATAATATTTTACGTATTATATTGTATTATTGTATATTAACCTAGAACATAGATATTATGGACAAACTACAAATTCTCTCAGTTAATGTAAGGGGGCTTAATTCTGATGAAAAACGTCAAAAATTATATGAATGGCTTAAATGATCTCAATGTGATGTTATTTTATTACAAGAGACACATTTTATTGAAAAAAATGAACATAAATATAATGCCGGATGGCATGGGAAAATTTTTCATTCATACAGCGATTCGTCACATAGTAAAGGCGTCTCAATACTTTTTAAGAAGAATATAAGTATCGAAATACTAAATGTTAAAAAATCAATTGATGGTAGCAAAATGTTGTTAAATGTTGAATATGATAATGAAATTTTTACAATTGTAAACATATATGCACCTAACGATATAAACAAAAGAGTTGATTTTTTCAAAAGAGTGCATACATTTATTACCAAAAATTGTTTAAATGAAAACATAATTCTATGTGGAGATTTTAACTGTCGACTCAATGACAAACAAGATAAAAGTAAAAATTATCTGATTAATATATTAAAACAACTTGATATGGTAGATGTCTGGAATAGAGAACATCCTGATTTGAAAGGCGAAACGTGGTGTAATGCTCAAGATATCCCTTTTAGTAAAATAGACTATATTTTTATGAATAATAATTTCTGTTTTCAAGTAGGTAATATTATAGTAAGAAAGTTACCGGGTACTCATTCCCGAGGTACAAGAATGAGTGATCATAGATATTTAAAAATGTATCTTAATATCTCTAAAAATTCAAGAGGTCCGAATTATTGGAAATTAAATATTTCATATTTAGAGAATAAGGAGTACAAAGAAAATATTGCAAACTTAGTTAATGAAGTAGATAATGTACAAAATCCGATCGACAAATGGGAACTTTTTAAACGAAAAGTTAAAGAATTTTCGATATTTTTCGCAAAAAATAAACGAAAGAAAATGAGAGAAAAAATAAACCTAATTGAAAAAGAGATAGAAAATATAGAAAGTAGCCAGTATAACAATATTAATAATAGTAAACTTAAGACACTTTATACAAATTTAAATGAATATTATGACAAAAAAATAAAAGGGGCGCAAATAAGATCAAAAGCAAAATGGATAGAGAGCGGCGAAAAAAATACAAAATATTTCTTAAATCTGGAAAAACAAAATCAAATGTCTAATGTAATTAAAGAACTTAAAACACCTACTGGCGATTTAATAAATGCAACAAATTCATTAATCGGAGAAATGAATAATTATTATACGAATCTGTTTAAAACTACAAATATTCCAACCGCTAAGATTTCAAGTTATTTAAGCAATATTGAAGTACCAATGCTGAACGAGAAGGACAAATTAATGCTAGATGAATTCCCTACATTTGAAGAATGCAAAAATGCCGTACTTGAAATGAAAGGAGAAAAGTCTCCTGGCTTAGATGGTATACCATGTGAATTCTACCAATGTTTTGGAACAATATTGGGCCAATTTTTTATGACGCACTTAAAGAAATTTTTAAACAAAAAGAAATGTCTGAATCTCAAAAGCTGTCTGTGATATCTTTAATACACAAGAAAGGCGAAAAACAATTGTTAAAAAATTATAGACCAATTAGCTTAACAAGCACGGATTATAAAATCATAGCTTGTCTTTTAGCTAAAAGGTTACAAAATATATTATCATATACAATCAATAAAAATCAAACGGCTTATGTTAAAGGCAGATACATTGGTGAAAATGCTCGACTAATCTTAGATATTTTTGAATATTGTAATTCAGAGAAGAAAGACGGCATATTATTATTTCTCGACTTTGAAAAAGCTTTCGATTCTGTAGAATGGAACTTTCTTCTTGAAACGTTAAAAAAATTTAATATTGGCGATCAATTTATTACATGGGTAAAGATATTATATAAAAACCCTAAATTCAAAATGAAAAATAACGGATGGTTATCTAAAACATGTAGTATGACAAGAGGGATCCGACAGGGATGTCCAATATCAGCTTTACTATACTTATTTGTAGCTGAAATTTTAGCCATTAAAATAAAAAACGAACCAAATATATCAGGAATAAGTATAAATGATAAAGAAATTATTAATATACAACATGCAGATGACCTAACAGTTGCTCTGAATGACAAGAAATCTCTCGATTTTAGTTTGAAAATTATTAACGAATTTTGTGATCACGCCGGATCAAAAATCAACATAAACAAGACGGAATGTATCCTGTTAGGGGGTCTTAAAGATATGTATGATGAAATCAACGGTATTAAAGCAACAAATAAAGCAATAAGATGTCTAGGTATTTATATAGGACACGATAAAGAAGAATGCTACAATAAAAATTAGATGAAAATATACCACGACATTGAAAAGTTATTTGAATCTTAGAAACGTAGAAAATTAACGGTTTTTGGTAAATCGTGTATAATCAAAACATTAGCAATTTCAAAACTAGTTTATATTGCATCTATATTGTGTATACCAGATAAAGAATATATCTGTAAGGTCCAAAGACTTTTATTTAATTTCTTATGGGACAAATCGGAAAGAATCAAACGAAATACACTGATAGGCGATTTAACTGACGGAGGTTATCGATTACAGATATAGAAAGTAAGTTTAAGGCTCTGAAAGCAGCGTGGATACCGCGACTTCTATCTTCTAAGGGCACTCTTTTTGAAATCTTTGAGAGTTTTTTGAATAAAGTGAATTTAAATCTGAATTACGTCTTACAATTTTCTGAAACTAGCTTAAATGCACTTGACAGAATAGGCAAACTTCCGCTTTTCTACAAACAAATTCTAAGCTCATTTAACGAATGTAAAAAAATGTGTAACTTTGAAAATACATCACCTAATGATATTTTGAAACAACCCATTTGGAATAATAACAATATCAAAATAAAAGGAGAAAAATTATTTTTCAATAACTGGGTCAACAGTAATATTCTCTATTTAAAAGATTTAATAGATGATAACGGGAACATTAAAACACTACAAATGCTTTCCACTGTTATTAAAAGAAAGTCGAACTGGCTTTGTGAATATAAAACTTTACTATCAGCAATTAAACCTTTGTGTAAAAAATGTGATTTATCTAATGCCAAATATTTAAACATTAAGAATGAAATGAGATTTCATTTCGCAACAGGGGTATCAAATCTAAATGGTAAGAAATGCCAATTTTTTTATAAAATTTTAATACATAAGAAATTTATTAAACCGTGTTATCAAATTAAACTTTCTCAAGAGTTTTCAATTCCTGCAAATGACTCAAGTATATGGCAAAATATATACAGGAGAAAAATTAAAGATATAAATGATAATAAAGTTGCTGAATTTAATTATAAAATGCTCCATAATATTCTCTGCAACAATACCTATTTAAGTAAATGGATAAAGGACAAGGGGGACAACTGTTCTTTATGCAAAATAACTGAAACCACAAAACATCTACTTTTTGAATGTAAAATCGTTGAACAGATTTGGGAAAAGCTAGGAACGTTTTTATCTATTGATATAAAATGGAAACACATTGTTCTGGGCTTTTATTTGGAAAAAAACGATAAGATTGAATCTTTGAATTTATTAATATCTTTTATTGCATATAAAATATATAAATACAAAATGTATTGTAGAATTCAATCTCTGGAAGAAACCGAAGTAGATTTGTTAAAAAATGTCAAAAATGCACTTATTCAATATTCTTCTGTATTACGTTTTATGAAATGTGATAAACAACATATTTTTACAAAATTTGCAGACACATTGTGAATATGATGTAAATGTTCTTTTTTTTGTTTTTTTAATCAATTAATTAGCTACTTCGAGAGAACAGTCTCAAGTAGCATCGTCCACCGGGGAGTGTTTGGATGGACTCTTTTGTGATTTTAGGACCCCGGTGGACCATAACTGCTATTTCAATTCTGTTTCAGTATATTTTTTGTATATTTACCCTCTGCAATACTTTGTGTTAAAAAAACCGTTATTCCATTATATGTATATGCACTATAAAAATTGTTATAATCGGAAAAAAAACCCAGCTAATTTACTTATTATTTTTATAATAACTTGACATAAATATGTAACAATTGATATATTTGACAACATATATATAATCATGTTTCCATATTATTATCTTTGTACTGTTTTTGTATTGTTGTTATTTAAATATCCTGAATAAAATCTTATTAAAAAAAAAAAACATCGAATACTGATCCTCTCTTAACTTTATGCAGAGTTCAAATGAGTCCTGAATTGTTTCACTTCTTAAGGTTTCCTGCTCCTCAACACTAAACCCTTCACTCTCAACGTGTTTATTGTCAACCTCGGATTCTTCTTTACATTCTTGTACTTTCACTTTATTAGCAATGTAATTACTGCTTATATATTGTAAAAACAATTCTGGAAACTGAAAACCAAAATGATATGCAAGAATTTCAAACACAGAATCATGAATAAATGTACACTCGGCACTGCAGAGTTTTGTATATGAACCCTCCATAACTCCCATTGCCTCTTCAAATTTATATGCATCAGTGTCCTTTTCAATTTTACAATTTTCTAGTACTTTCGATTTCATTGCGCAGAAAACACCGTTCCCTGTGTTTTTCAATATTTCTTGTGATAGTTTATTGTCATTTAACATGCACAAAACCAATGTAGCATAGCATAATCTATTTCGCCCTTGCATTTCGTCAAATTGACCTAAAATACATGCGGCTGGACAGGTAAAGAACCTTTAAACATTGTTTCTAAATTTCTCCTCTTTTGAATATAGTTTACACAACAGAGGAAACATACCCAATGTGTCTCCCAGTATTGCAGGGGTCAACAACTCTCTATCTATGCCGTGTTTCTGAAGGATCGCTTTCTTATCTTCATCGTTCAATACATTTTCGGAACTATGCATCTTAATTGTGTTATTTTCATTTGAGAAAAATGATTTGTAACATTCATTAAACACGGCTTCCCTACATGACATTAATACCTTTGTATTTCTATTGGACGGATCTGAAATTCTTTTTTCATAGTCTATCAATGACTCTAACTTTTGTTTTTGCAGACCTAAAACACCTACCACATCATCAATGACAAAAACCTGTGGATGACGAGAGTCAGAATAATCTTCAATCTTCCTGATGTCTATAATTGGTACAACCTCGTATTCTTCCTTCTGGAGCATCAGGGCTATGTGATGAATCGTTGCCAATTTTCCTGATCCCGGGACACCAACAAATGTCATGTAAGGTTGACTTCTGACTTGATCCAACATTGCAGGGAAACCGTGGCTTTCACTGTAAACCCCATCTTCCTCTTTCCATCGTATGACATCTTTTTCAAAAACATCTACAATGAATTGTTACAGCAAGCTATGTTATATTTTTTTTTCTTGTTAGTAATGTAATTACCCGGAATTCAGAGAAATTAAACGTTTTACATATGAAAAATAAGCAGATGCCTAAAAAAGTATGGTGTACATGCTTGCGGTTATAAGAAAGATAAGTTTGCAGGATTGAATTTGAAGAACTGCTGCAATTTATGGATTTCTGTCGATATTTAAAAGTTTCTAGATTTGAAAATCAATTATAATTCAACCATAGATTACATTGTCATCTACATTTTCAAAACTTTCTAATTTTAATTGATATAGCCGATTTATATGCTGGAAAATATCCCTATTTTCATTTACCCCTGCTTTCACCTAAATTATATCTTTAAAAAAATTTCGATCTGAATTCTTATATATTTTTTTAAATGATAATTTATTGTGAATCCATTGCTGTATAATTCATAATATGAATAAAATAATTTGATTCCTGAAGGTTTGACTTTAAAATCTGAAATATATTTCTCGTTCATTTTATAAGTGCTTGGTATTGATTGATTGATTGATTGTATACTGTTTAACGTCCCTCTCCAGAATATTTCACTGATATGGAGACGTCACCATTGCCGGTGAAGGGCTGCAAATTTAGGCCTATGCTCGGCACTCACGGCCATTGAGCAGGGAGGGATCTTTATCGTGCCACACCTGCTGTGACACGGGGCCTCGGTTTATACGGTCTCATCCGAAGGACCGCCCCATTTAGTCGCCTTTTACGACAAGCAAGGGGGTACTGAGGACCTATTCTAACCCGTATCCCCACGGGGAGCTTGGTATTGAAAATTATATAAGAAACAAGATTGTTCTCAAATCTCAAGTCCATCAAACAATATTCAAAACAAGAGCAGAGACGAATAACATTAATTATCAAGAAAAAAAATCTTTTACAAATTAACATATACAAGAGCAAAAAATAATTCTTTTACAAATTTATATATACAAGAGGACCGGTCATGGTAGCCTAGTGGTAGAGCATTAGCCCGGGTTCGATTCTCGTTCACGGCGCAACGTCATACCTAAGAGATAAACAAAGATATTGACTTCCTTCGCCAAGTGCTAGGCACTAGAAGTGAAAGTCACGGGTATTTCGATATGACCTTACAAACGTAGGTACCGTGTCACGATAAAGAACACTCACTGCTCAATGGCCCTGAGTGCCCAGTATAGGTCTAGTCTGCATCATCCACACATATGCGTTTACCTCCACAAACTGTTTTATGGAGATAAACACAAACGTCTGGATGATGCAGACTAAGAATATGTCTAGATTTGAAGCCCTTTACAGGCGTGCGGTGAAGTCTCCATATCATTGAAAAAATTTTGAGAGGGACGTTAAACAATATACAATCAATCAATATACAAAAGCAAAAAAGGTATATTTTATAATTTCTTATCTCTTGCACAATTCTTTAGGAAAGGAATATCTAAATTCTTCTTATTATTTATTTCAGAAAGTCCTTCAAGATGTATTGATACTAAAACGTTTTTAATTAAGTTTCAGATTAAAATTTTGAATCATTTTAATATAATTTGTCAATCCCATTGCCACCATGGGGATATAAACAAGAATATACACTATGTTTTTTATTGAAACAAGTCAAGGTTAATTAATTTTTTTCAAATTTGCCAATTATTATTTTTGAATTCACTAACATACCTTTGACATTTGGAGGAATTACAGACTTTGGTTTTTTTATTTCATCTGAAAAATATAAAAAAAGACTTTTTAGGTGGCATATTTATGAAAATTATTCTCTTTTTTTTTGTGGTAAAACTCAACCTTTGCAAAGCAAGTTTTCATTACATTTTTCACATACAGTTAGATATAAGCTTAATAAATATGAAACAAATAAATAGTAATTTCAATCAAAGGCAAACTTATTGTATGATTTTATTTCAAACTAATGGCAAAAGAATGCTTAAAGAGATTTTTTACTGGGATTTTGACCATCATCCACATTCACAATTAAATTGATTTAGATTTTCATTGGGCATTTTAACATTTGAACTTGCATTGTGGAACATACTACACTTAGCACAATGAATGTGATACTGCATTTTACAATATATTAACAATATCTAATTTACATCAAATAATTTCGATATTTATTTGTTTATTGGTGTTTTCCCACGTCTGTAATAGAGTCTTAGTATCCATAGACTTTTATTCTTTTTTTCATAAACTATGCACTTGTATCAGATGAATAGCTGACCATTCTTAGAGTTTAGTTACTCCTTTAATGAAGCTTAAAGCATACAACACATGCATTCCTTGGAACACTCTAAGTTTCTCTATTAGGACTTTGTGATTAATACTCAGTAAGAATGACTTTAAAAAATCTGGGATTTCTACTGGGATATTTAAATTTTATGATGTATTCTGTTTTTAGATATAAAATTAATTTGATCTTTCTGCTTTCCTTCATACAGGTCTTTTTTATTGCTATTAGCAGGACCATTTGGAATCATTGTTGTGTTTTAAAGTTTTCTTACAAGCCAATCAAAATCGAGTATTATCAATAGAGGTATAATAATCTCGATTTTTTAACCAAACTTTTGGGCGACTGTGAAAGAAGAACTCGCTACTAAGCTCCAGTTTGGTACAAAAGCGAAAGTAAATTAGCTTGTCAGAATAATCCATCCTCCCCCTTTGATCTGATAGTACCCAACAAACAAGCAGCTTTGAAAAGGTTGGCCAATGAGGGCATTGCTTTATACTGATGAAAATGAAGGGAAAGAAGAAGGTTATTGAATTAAACTTATAAACAAATGTGTTATAGAAGATAGTTTTACATCATGTGTACCCGATACTTTCATGTCTTTATTTTATATATTTAAGCAAACACTCACAGCATTATATTAAGGTCTGGTGACATGTTCCCAAAATATATTTTCCCCAAATATTGCTATTGAAAAAGTTTCCGTGAAAACAAGAGGGACCTTACCATGATATAGACTAAGATATCAGGGCATTGTTTTTATTTTTTATCATGCTAGTACGAGAATTCTTGGTCAGGATTAAAACAAATTTGAATTGGCTCTATACAGAGGAATGATTGCCTATTAGTCACACTCCTAAGTACCACAAAAAAAATTTCTTACAATTGCACCTAAACCTTTTACATAAAAGTGGAAGCTTTTACTGTTTTTTTTTTCACAATGAAGAAAGATTTCTTTGATATAATAGCTTTTAATTTATTAATTTATTCTTTATTCAATCTTGTTTTTACACATGATTATCAAAACAAATTGCCGTTAAACGGAGAACAATAGACAAACATGCGCTTACTGTGTATAAAGTCGTTAGACTAGTTTATCATCTTTTTAAGCTTCTTTAAAGATGTGATTAAATCTACGAATGGTTAGCTCTTTATACGCAATTAGCATATACAGTATTTCATGTAGAAAATATAACATGATAATTCATACATTCACATCACAAATAGTATGTCTGTAATAGAGTCTTTCAATCAAAGAAAATATCATTCCCAACCCTCAAATACATTGTAGATACTAAAGTTGAAATTATTTCAAATACTTATGTATCATTATTTATTTTACACAAGTTAAAGTGTTTCCGTTGTTTTTTCATAATATTAGAATATCAGTTTGTGTGGAATCTGAATATCATACAGTTTTAAAGAACAGTTTTATGAGCTCATAAATATGTATCAATGTTACAATGGTACTTACCAACAATTTTCAATATTTCATTGTGATTCTCATTTCTCTCAGTTTCACTCTCTTCCAATTTTTCTGGGAAGAAAAACAGATTTCAAGTAAGCATTAAGTGCAGATACAAATTTAAACAGTATTAAAGACGTACAACACACTGGGGGAGATAACTCTTGCGATTTCAATTCAACGTTTGACGTTAAGTCAAATTTAACGTCAAAAATAAAGCGTCAAAAGGACGAGTAAAACGATCACGATGTATATCAATCATAAAAGAAAAATGTGATATGGGGCTTGGCTTTTATTATGCGTACCATACTCAATCAATAAGTTTTTTTTTAAATAACCCGATTAAACTCCGTAAAATGCCAGACATACATTGTAAAATACCATCCCTTAATGTTTATTTCATCTCATTTCATATACAATAAATTGTATTCTTGATCAAAGCGCAGCATTTTTTTTATTCTGAAAATTTTATTTTACATTGCCGAAATTCTCATTATTATGTACAATATTGGCTATATGACATTCCGATTAATGGTCTTCATTACAATTTGTGCATTTACGATATACATGTAAATATTGTTTTTCTTTTTTAATTAGATAAAAGAACAAACTTTTTACAATGTAAAATCGATGTTGTTCTCAGACCCTTACTGATCAAAGAGGAACAACTCTGAAAATGTAGGAGATATTTATTTTCCTCCCTTTATTCACGGTTTTCCACAGAATCAGATACACATTTACAGCAAGACCTGATAAATCCGAGAATTGAATACTATAGACCTCATACACACAATGTAAGTATAAAATTGAAAAGAATTGTTCACTAGTACTGAAATTATCGGCATTAATGATTATCCTGTCGCAGCAAATCGTTTGACATTCTCTGTCAACAATGTCGGTTCGCATTTCCTCGAATCAAAACAAAACGTAGCCTATAAGATTTTTTTTAAAATATCAATGTGCGATTTGATATCAATTGAAATAGATGAAGAGTTTAATGTTTGATATTTTGAAGTTAATGTGGACGAATACGGATTTTTCATTTTAACTTTAGAAGCAACGACATTGAAAGAATGGCATGCGTATAATATCATGAAGGGTGTACATCTATGCAAATGTCGATGTTTCCCCACGACCACATACTGTCTCATTTGAAATAATGCAAGAGAGAAACTACAATTATTTCCATTTATATCACAGGAGAGTTGAACATACATTTTTCATAAATAAAATTTAAGCAAATAAAATTAAAAATCAACATATTCAAGTTCAACATAACTTGAATTCGTATCCAGCTTTCATGTGATATGGAATGCATAACGCATATATATATGGACTAAAACTATTATCCTTGAGTAATTTTTTCCTGATACATATAAAAACAGTAGTCAATATTTATTCTGCACTCATGAAATTAAAAACTAATGCATACCTCCGGGATTCAAATGACGAAATACTAGTATATTTGCACTGTAAACGACGTTTCGTCAAACGCTAATGGTCTACGACGAAAAAAAAGGAAGGGGTGGGGGTGGTAGGGGTATTCGAAAATTGCCTAAATACCCTCATTTAAATATGATTTACATATGAGAACTTTTTAATTTGTAAGTTAATGTATTTTTGAAGCAAAAACAATATTCAAATTTGATTTTTTTAAAATGTGTATTTGTAGATTCATAGCAAAGTGATCGACCCCCGTCTGAAAGACGCGCGGGAACGTGATTTATTGAAAAAGGGGGAGGGGGTAATTTTCCGCTATTAAATCAAAACTGGTCGAACAAAAATTACACAAAAAATTATGAAGATTATTTTTGCTTTCAGCTACCTAAAGAAAGTCTTTTACCAAAATTAAACGACAGGTTTTTTCACAAAAAAATTTTGATTTTGAAAAATACACAATTTTCAAGGCTTAGATAATTCATAGTTTTTCACTTTAAGGTCTTTACAAATTGTTTTGATGATATGTATATAAAAAAGATGACTATGTTTTTGTGTTAAATGGTTAAAGGAATAAGTCAATGAAATTTGACATTTATATCTAACCTGGCTTTTTTGAAAATCAAGGTTTAAGTAGTTCATTGATTAAAATTTTTCTCTCCTTGTAAACAACTAAAGGGGGGTAACTTTTGGAAGTTCCTGTCCAAAAACCACTCGAACGATTTTGACCAAAATGTGCATACATGCAGTAGATATAGTCATATACTAAATATACAAAAATAACGAAAATTAAACGACAGGAATTTTTAGGGGTAGGTGTGTTGTACCTCCTTAAGCTTTATTTCATATGTTAAATGTCAAACTTCGTCGTCTTAATTACGTTTCAGACCATTTTTCTTGTTTCTGCATCTTCTTCAGCTTGTTTCCTCAATTCTTCTATGTAATGGCGGTCGCTAACAGGGTCCATTGTCTCTTGTCTCAAAAAGTCCACCTCCCTTTCATACTGGTTCCCATTGCTAAGGAAAGAATCAAGGTCCACAACTGCTGATCTGACAGTGGACCAGATCGTGTTAATGTCAGCATTGGAGAGGACGGGGCTAGAAGAATGTACACACTGATTTCTGGCAATACGGATTCTCTCAATGTTGGCAGAGAGAGATCGATCTATAGGGTCTGGATCATATCCCCAGCCATTGCTGTGTGGTGGTATACCACAAATGTTTCTAAGTAGTATGTACAATAATGAAATGTCCATATCATGATAGTTTCCTGTATAACTAATACCTCTAGGTAAAATAAGATTCATCTGTTGAGCTGTCAGACGGGGGAGATTACTCCTCTTAATTTTAATGACGTGTGGAAATGTTGACGGTGGTACATAGTGACATAAAACATCACGTAACTCATCTGTACACGGACCCAGGAGAAGTCGGCAGGCTCTACAGGCATTTGTCGTCTCCTCTGTAGAGGCGGAAGACGAGGAGGCCATAGCATTCATTTAATGCTTTGCTGAAATGTAACAAACATCCCAAAAATTTGATAATAAACAAACAAATTAGAACTATCTTAGTAAAACTACACATTGCTCATGCACTAAGGCAACCAGTCAAATTGCTTAAATTAAAATACTGTTCACTGATTTCAGCCTGTCTGCTGGAGTGCCATACTGCAAATTTACTGACTTGTTAGAATGTTATGTATGTATATATTTTCACATTCTAATTCTGAAAATACCAACTGAATTGATGTCTCCAAAGTTTTCCTTCCATTCTAAAATTGGGTCCAGGGTCCGTAGAATCTGAAAAATTAACACGATTATTTTTAACTAGGAAAATCATCATACTATAGAAGAATGTTACCAATAAATGAACATGAGAGGATTTCTAATAGAGTTAGGCTAACAATAGAAAGTATTAAACTATTTCTAATCGATCATATAAACTGTTTGTTGTCAGCGATTTTTAAAATTTGAAGAAATTTAGATCCTCCAGAGTCGTGAATCACCATTGTTTTCCTAAAACGAAAGTAGGCGTTAAAAAAATATATAATTTCGAATAGCTTTGTTATTGGACCTTATCTTATATCTAACGTCATTTGAATCCTTTTGCTGGCAGTTTTTGTTCAAATTTAATAAAACACGTAAGCATTAAACGTGTCTGTACCTTCAAGTGCCTGTGCAGGAAAACGAAAGTTCGCCACTATTTTTTGTTTAAATTTATTTGTTTTTCTGACATTTAAAAGCTTACTTGATATTCTTTAATGTTCCGACTTTTATAAATGATGAAATGCAGATATTTGTAGTCTATATTCCGAGATTGAATCCTAAGACAAATCTACTAGGGCGACTTCGATTCATACCCGAGTATTAACTCTTCGTTGACGTCACATGACCGGATGTTTACACAAACATGTGCTTTTCAAGCGAACTCATATGAGTTTGAAGGGTAGCGAAAATAAAATATATTTCCTCTATGAGTTTTAAAAGGCGGTCTAATAGGTCCTTTTTGACATCATCTGTTGAGTTAATTTTTTCTATAGCTTTTGCTGCAGTTGATATGTTTTTCTTTTTCAGCTCTGAACTTTTTTGGTTTCGAATTTGAATTTATGTCTCTGCTGTTATCGGGCAGTAAACCTGAAAAATCTAATCTAATAAACATATATTCATATAAATTATAAAGCGTTCATGTATAAAGTGCGTTTCGAAGTTTGCTTTTAAGGATAAGCGATGCTAAATATAATATTTAGTAAAAAAAATTCCTACGTTCGGGTTTTTCTTTCGACGCCGCCATATCGAAACTCAAGTAATCCTACTGTATGGCTGGGTTAGCTTGGGTAGAGTTCATAAGGTCATATGACGTATTTTGAGTAGTAACTATGGTCGTTCGATTGAAACTCAAGTAACTCTAGTACGTACTCGGGTACGAATCGAAGTCGCCCCTAGAGGTTCATTTTATTCTCTGGGATTTCCACTTTTCAACGCAAGGTCTTAGCGGTTGCCAGTTATTTCGGCTCTAGAATAATTCACCCTTTCTTTGTTTGGTGTAGGGTGGTTTCGCGCCAATTACGTGTTCGCACTGAGTGGTATCGCGCCGAGTGGTTTCGCCCCGTTTATCTACAGGTAAGATATGGGTAGTATACAGTATGGCTTCCCCCGATTACCTGTAATTATACAACTTAGTACCGTGTAATTAATTAACCCCAAGCGTAAATGTCATGTGTAAGATAATTATCCCATTTTGTATTAGGCCTAATACTTAAAGTGAGGCCACTTTTAGCCAAATTATGACTATATTTGAACTAATTTGGAATAATTAAGACTGGCTGTCAAAGTAGAAATTTATTTTACAATTAACACAAATCTCATTGACTTTTCAATGAATGTTGTCATTGTTTTTCATTTGATTTACAATATTAAATTATGTAGAACAAGGATTCTTCTGCATGACGATTATTCTTTGTTAGACTTCCCATTTCATTGCATATACCATTTCTTTATTATATCTTAATATATACATTATGATTAATCAAACGACTATCCGATAAGCGGTATCTTCAGTTATACAGTTATACAGTAGAAACCGAATCCACTCGGCGCGAACAAGAGATTGGCGCGAAACCACCGGGCGCGAACGCTATTGGAGCGAAACCACCCTCATTCCTTTATTTTACCACCAACCTCTTATCAACAGATCTACTTTTGTATTCATATGAGGCAGAACTTTTGCAAAATCCTATTCATGAAAAGAAGAAAGCACTTGCTGTTGCCTTCAACTCGACATTTAGATCTATATATCAATGTATTGTCAATAAACAATTGTAATTTCAATTCTTTAGTCAATGTGATCTATCCTGTGAGCTTGAAATAAAAAATACCACAGAGTCTGACACATCTGTTTCATACTTGGATATTTACTTGAAAAAGACGTTAATGATAATCTAACAGCCAAGCTATATGATATATGCGATCACTATAACTTTTCTATTGTCAAGAGCATGCTCTTGAGTATCGAATCAACTGAGATATATATACTCCGTATACAGGTGATGCAGGTATATTGCTGCATATGGAAGTTGGCGATAGAAAAGTTAAGTCATCACGTTTATCATGAAGCTTGGTTGTTAGATTACCATTTGTGTCTTTTTCAAGTAAGATATCCAAGTATGATACAGAAGTGTCGGATTTTGTGGTATTTTTTATCTCAAGCTCACTAGAATATATCGTATCGACGTAGGAATGGAAATTACCATTATTAATTGAAAAAATGTCGTCGATAAATCTAAATGTCGATTTGAAGACCATAGCAAGTGTTTTCTACTTTTCACACATAATTTTTTACATAACTTTGCAAATATTATCAAAGGAAATTTCAGCATTTAAACACTGATGAGGATATGTACTTCACAACAATGTCCATCATATTACTTAAATCCTTGTTTTTTGGTAGTAAATGTAGATATTCATGCATATTATTATTGGTACTTGGACATAGATTTGAAGTTATTATTTTCTCTATAATATTACTGATATATTTTAATAGCATTTCACATAAAAATTAATTAAAAATCTAACTAAAATAAAAGATATTAACATTTCAAATTCTTTGGCGTGTTTGATTGACACATCCCTGCACTTTCACAAAATTAATTTTATTCTTAATTCTTAAGAAAAGTGGCAATCTCGTTGCGTATAAATGAAAAATATCAATACTTCAATCCAGAAAACTCAGGGTAGGCATGTTCGAAAGTAAAACAGACACGCAACACAGTTAAGGTTACAGTAAGGAGGCGGGGCCTAATTTGTACGGGAAATGTTAACTATGACGTCACGCATAATATACGGTCTACAAAATACCACAAAATGAAATTATTTGCTATTTCAAACAGCTGGATAGCTGTATACTACATACAAACTTACTATTACATGCAGTTTTGTCGTTTATTAAATCCCACACAACAGTATATAAACGATGCATCGATCGCAATGCACTTGTCAATGTGACGTCATCTCGCAAAAATGACGCAGTTTTTACACAGTGAGAGGCTGATCAAGTCACATTTTTTACAATGAAAAATGTCTTTTGTTCTCAAATAAAATATTATTTGCGGTAAAATAAAAAGCCATTAACTTAGATGCGATGTTTATTTTAGTATTTTATTTATAAACTGTACGTGCATTTATCAGACAAGCGATACTGTCGTGTGTTTGTATGCAGATTCATTGAAAAAGTAATGGAAGGGCCCTAATAAATCGATTTATTGCAAGGGCATACCCTCAATGTATCTTGTCAAAATTTTACATATAAACTCAAGAAGCATTAAGATATTTGAAAAGTGCTGCGAACCTCTTGAAATCTTGCAAATAAATTAATTATAGCTATATCTAATGTAGTTGACCAGCAAAATATTCAACCTGCCGTCCAACAAATTAAATTTTGCCAATTAAAAAAGGGAATCTATATAGGTTCGCAGCACTTTTCACAAACTACATATAGTATTGAAAAGGATTATAAAATAAACTAAGATTTTAGCTTGGTTATGCCCTTGCAATATTGAAATTTATAGATGACCTCTAAACTGCAAGTATAATTGTCAAAGTCATGTGACGTCGACATCAAATGACAAGTCTAAATAAAAAATCTAAATGTCCCCAACATGTAGATTTTAACCACATTACATTTTTTGATATCAGTGAATTCCTAAAAAGATTCGCCCATCCTCATAAAGTATGTATTTTTTATCTTAAAAAATCGCCGATATTTCCATTTGTAACCTTAACTGTGCTGCGCACACAAAATATTGTCAGTCCGTGTGGTTGTAATAAACAGACTGTGGCGTTTGAAGCACCCGGTGAATTCTAAGCATAAACAATAACAAAACTCGAGCCCTGTTTACAAAAACTATGTACATAACACGGGTGAGCTCGATATGCTAAACTCTGTACGCAACCCGTTGTTTTGGGATGACGATACTTGTGAGGGAGGTTTGGTTTCTAGCATTTTTTTTTCGGAATAAAACTATTTTTCTGGATAAAAGTTTAAATATTTATCATTAATACACAACAAAATTGCCACTTTTCCTAAGGATTAGGAATAAGGTAGAAATTCAAGGGCAATCGAGGTATCATCTGCATATTGAGAGATTTTGTGTTCTTTTTCATTTATTATTATACCTTTTATATCTCTGTTTTGTTCAATAAGAATAGCAAGGATTTCAGCACAAAGGAGGAACAAGTAGGGAGCAACAGGATCTCCTTGTCTACAACCCCTCTGAATAAAAAAACTGTTGAGATAAAAAACCACATTGTAAAACTGAAGCTTTAAAATTATTATTTAGGATTTTAATCCATTCAATTATGTTGTTTCCAAAACCAAAATACTTTAAAACTTTATAAAGAAAGGACCATGAAATTGAGTCAAATGCTTTCTCAAAGTCTATTAGCATTAACAGACCAGGAATATTATTTGACTCTGTATAAGACATTAAGTCATAAATAAATCTTGTATTTTCCCCAATAAATCTACCTTTAATGAAACCTGTTTGTGTATCAGAAATAAGATATTCTAAAGTCGACTTTACTCTACGACTTAAACATCCAGATATAAGTTTATAAAGAACATTTAGTAAAGTAATTGGGCGCCAATTTTTTAAGAACTGTCTTGGTTTATCACCTTTGGGTATACATGAAATAATCCCAAGTCTCTGAGAAATGGGAAGTTCTTTCTTTGAAAAAATACAGTTAATTGCATTTAAAATATAATTCTTCAAATCTATCCAGAAAAATTTGAAAAATTCAGCAGTAAAACCATCACTCCCTGGAGACTTGTTATTTTTCATATTCTTAAGAACATCTAAAATTTCACTTTCTTCAATATCATTATCAAGACTATTTGAAGTCATCTCGTCAAGTTTTTTAACTTCCGCTGGGTCGATAATATCATTCAGATCCATATCAATACATTCTGAATCTTTATTTGAATACAGTTCTTCATAAAAAGATTTAACTTGGTTTAAAATTTCAAATTGATCATAAGCAGTATGTTGTTCATCAATTTCAACCCTTTTAATAATTTTATTAACATAATTTCTTGATTCTAGATTACAAAAATATTTTGTCGGCTTTTCACCTTCTTCTACCCATCTAGCACGGGATCTAATTAAATGGCCTTGCATTTTAACTTTTCTTAAATTTTCAAGGGTTACTTTTTTTTCTTCCAAAATATCTTTATTATTTTCATTACTTGTTTCCAATCTCTCTATTTCTTCTACAAGGGATTTTTCTAACTTTTCTCTCTCTCTTTTCTTAAACGAAGAGTATGAAATAGATATTCCTCGTATTTCCA